GGCAGAACCACAATGCATGAAGGCTTTGTTCAGCCCTGAAACATGAGGATGGTATGAAGGAGATGGAATAACTCAGGATGCATCAAGGACACTAGGAACCCAACCCTTCCTCTCATTCTTCCTGAAGGAAATTCAGAACACCCTGGCTCCCTCTACACACAGTATACCCATGTCCTCTCGCTTGTGGTTTCCCCTGGCTAGGTGTTCCCTGGATCCTGTTATCAATTGCTCTCTCTTTTCCCTTTTGAAAACAAGTGCTTCCTCCTCCTGTCACTTTCTCCCTCTCCTTTTGATCTGGGCTACCTTGCCGCTGTTACTGATTCAATCTACCGCAATCTGGTTTTGGCCCCCAGCTCTCTTCCTAAGCCATTCATAGAATGATAGGGATACCCAGAATGAGATGTTTCTGGTTGGGAGTTTAAGCATCATTTAAAACTCTACCTTGAGGCCCTCTCAGCTATGTGGCCCTGGGATGATGATGATATTATTATTATTATTTATTTATTTATTTATTTATTTATTGGTGGGCCTGTCATAGAGCCTGGTCTCAATGTGTGTGTGACTTTGGTGTCTTGCCACTGACCTCACCAGTACACTAGCCAAGGGATGTTTCTCCAGAAGTTTCCTGAGTACTACTCTTCCCATGCTATTTCTGCCAGAAAAATCCCAAGACAACATGATTAAAGATGAATCTACCAGGCTGGAGAGATGGCTCAGCCATTAAAGACTAGGTTCACAACCAAAACTATACGATGAATCCACCATAGCTTTCTTCTATCATAGTCTCAATGTTTGTGTGCCTCAAAGTGCACATTTTAAAAACAAGATTTAGTTTTATTGTTTTATTTATTTATTTATTTATGTGTGTGTGTGTGTGTGTGTGTGTGTGTGTGTGTGTGTGTGTGTGTGTGTGTGTACATGAGGCCAGGTACCTATGGAGTCCAGAAGAGTGTATTGGATTCCAGCTGGAGTTACAGGCAGTAGTAAGTCACCAGATGTGATTTCTAGGAATAGAAATCAGTTCTCTGCAAGAGCAGAATGCACTATTAATCACCAATCTATCTCTTTGTCTCGGGTTACATAGTTTTAGGTACTGTTTTTGTTTGGGTTTCATGTATCCCAGGCTAGCCTTGAACTTGATATACAGCTGACAGTAACCTCAAACTTCATCTCCTTTCCCTCTTAGCCCTGTACCACCATACCAGGTTGATGTAGTGAATATTCCCAGCCTCCCCACCTATGAACCTACTCCATGGGGCTACATCAAGACACAGACTCCTTAATGAGGTCATTAAGGCTAATGAGGTGAGGTGGTGGGCTCTGATCTGATCAGATTAGTGTTCTTATAAAAAGAACTTATATATATATCTCCACCCTGTGAAGACAATGCAAATAAGGAAATGGTTCTCAGCAGCAACCCCCAAGGCAATGCCTCAATTTTAATTTCAAGCTTTGACTCCATCACATCGAGAAAGGTTTTAGTCTCTTAACATTTGGCAGTGCCCATTGATATGCCCAAAGTTAAAACCTAGTTCTTTTCTGTACCCAATGCTCCAGGTTTTCTTAGTCCTGCTGTGGCTGGGGCCATCTATCCTCTTGCTTAATATTCCCTCTCTCAGTTCCTCCTTCTGCCTCTTACCACCTTTCCTAGTCTTCTATGCCTTCTATAGAACTACAAAAGCTAGGCTTCATCTAAGACCCTCATCACAATACCCTCCATTGTCTATATTCATCTGGGCTCACTCATCCTGGGGATGAGACCCATCTCTTTGACGCTGCTGGTGCTGGGGTTACCCTGTTGCTGTATGACTCCCCTCCTCTTAGCACGGCCTCCTTTTCTCCAGAGAACACACTTTGAGATGCAGCTTTGCAGACCACACCTGAACTCCTTTAGCTCTTCTGAAGAAGTATCTCCACTTATGTCCCTGAGTAAAGTGAGTGGCTAATGCACCATTACATTAGCTGTTTGAGAGAGAGAGAGGTGGGGGGAGGCACAGGCTGACATTTCCATGAAGGAATTCTCAAGATGCCTTGGTTTTCCAGGGAGCTTCCACAGTTTTCACTCGAAGCTTCGCTGTGCTCTGTCCTTTATTTGCACGTGTCCCATTCTATTTGCCCTGAGTCTGAGGTCTTCATGGTGGCTCTGAGTTGAGTTCAAGTCTTACTGCTGTGCCCTGCATGGAACTTGGCCTCAATGAGCATCCAAATGCTGGTTTGGTGGCACTTTCTGATTATATGTACTGAACTGCACCCTGGTCATATGGCTGGGCTCTAAGGTTGTTAGGGAGAGTAAGAATCATTTTCCTGTACCACATCTTCTGGATCTCCACTTGCTCCTATACAAAGCCATGGTTTTTTTTTTTTTTCACCTATATCTGGTAATATCATTACATTATATCAATATCATTATAGAACTATCTACTAACTTCCTTTTGAGGGTTTCCACTTTGTCTCCAGGTGCTTCCCTCATTTGAAAGGAACTGAGAGGCTCATGTTAGTGGCTTTGACAGTGACTATCACAATGCAACACCCATTCAGATGTGACCATGATCAGCAGTCTGGACTAATTCTCAGGACACATATGGACCCCCTTGGCCCTGCCACTGGCATTTAGCTATAACATCCGGATATTCTGACCACACATGGACCACTGGGGACAAGCCCCCTGTGGAAAAGAGCAACAAGGAAAGTGAACATATTGCCAAGTATGTGATATGCACCATGCATGGTGTACACACCCGACCATGATGTACTACTTCACACCATAGGCCCATCTCTATCAATAACAACCCGAGAAAAGCGCCACGAGGAAGCGGCAAGAAACTGGTGAGCACCATGGAGTTCTCAGAGACACACACTTTTGAGGGGAAGGGTCTGAAGGGGTGGTGGATGAGCAGGAATTGGCCCCACAGCAAAGATGCTTGTGTATTTGGGGAGAAGTGGATAGGCTGTATCCCTGGCTGCTCCTCGTCACCGTGGTACCTGTGCTCCAGTGCGTCTCCTTGCTTAGGAGCCTTGAGGGCAGTGTGTGAACAGCTGATACTTTCTACACTCCGTTGTGCCAAGTAAACCGCAGCCTTAGAGGATGGAATAAACATCCACCCACCCATGCCTCAGCGTCTTTACTAAAATTAAAGTGTACAGACCTGAGATGGCACTTCTCAGGGCCTTACAGAATGTCCCACCTCTTCTGAGGCCTGTCTGCAACCTAGGCAGCCTGTAACCAAGCCTGCGTAGCTTCAATCAGGGTCTGAAACTTTATCTTTGCCATGCTAGCAAGCTCATGTCAGGCTTATTAACATCTTAAAATGTTAACATTAGCTGAAGTTATGGGATGAGGGATTCTGTGGAGGGCATTTTGGCACTATCTGTTAGAATTTGATAAACATATCTGTCCTGCAGACTGGGTCCTGCAGGGCTGCTGATACAACATCAGACAAATACGCACAGGTGTTTGAAGAGGGAAGTGTCTCCAACCTTCCTTGTGATAGTTGACCCTAAGGGTGGCAGGAAGTGACGCCTGATGGGAGAGGCTGGCCCTGGAATTGGGGTTTGTGGGGGGGGGAGCTGGGAACCACCAGAGTAATTGCCCTGCTATCTGCTGGTCCCAGGCACACTGTGAACAAGATGGGCCTTCTTGTGTCTATGCAAGGACCTGTTTGTATCAACTAACTGACCAGGCCTGGTGGTAGGTGTAATATATATAAAATTGTATAAGAGAAACTTCTGAGAGAAAACTGGAACCACTAACCTTGGAAGGTAGTTGGGAAAATGCATCATGGGAAAGACCTTCATTTTTCTTTTTACTAAGTATTTAGATCACTGGATTTTTCTACACAAATAGGACTATTTTCTTTCTTCCTTCCTTTTTTTGTGTATACTTATATGTGTGTGTAGCATATTAATATATAAATTAATATGAAGGGTGTGCACACCTGTGAGCACATGGAGGCAGAGGACACTGGATGTCCTCCGCTCTTACTCTCCACCTTGTTACTTTGGGGCAGGATCTCACAGGGGGTTTTGGTTAGGCTGGCAACCAGCAGGCCCTAGGAATCCCCTCAGTGCCAGCAATACCACACACAGAGGAGCAGGTCTCGATTGCCGCATGGGTGTTGTGATCTGAAGTCAGGTCTTCAGGCCTGCACAGCAAGTGCTCTTATCCTAGAGTTTCTTCAATAACTATAAACATTTCAAAATGTCCAGGCTCTGTGTCACAAACTCTTGAAGATAACATTACTCCTTTGGCCTGCTTATTACTTCCGGTATTTTTTTTTTTATATAGACCTAGGTACGTGTAAGCATACTTGCATGCATGAAGCATCATGGAGCGTCAGCAAGGGAACTCCTGTGTCTCCTCCACAACTAGCAGTCACTGATACTGTGCAAAGTGGGTCCCAGCACTCAGACACCCAGTCTGACAGGTCCTGCTGGCTTTCCTGTGAGACTGGCTACCACTGAGACCCATTCATTGCTTTCCAAAGGAGCCCAGGACACACAAGATATTGAATCATGTTTCTATTCAAATTAGGCAAATACAAATAAATGGTGTTTAGCTGAGTTTCCTGGGAGTTTTCTCATGTATCTGATAGAGACTTGCTACAAGGCCAGTATGACAAACACCAGCCTCTTTTCTCAGGATGGGGCTGCTTTGGAATTCCAAGTAAGACATGTTTCAGTCTACAGTCATCTATGTGTATGCTCTTGTGGGTTCATGAACAATTAAAATCTGCTTCTTATTGTAAATGAAGCCTGATTTAAAAAAAAATGCCTGAAAACCATGGTCCTGGTGGTTAGACGAAGTTGAAGTGGCTTGTGCTTTTGAGATAAATTTGCAGCTTTACACATCTTTTCCCAGATCTCCACAGTTTGTTACTTTGGTGGGAGTTTTTGGGCTTGGTTTTCTTAGTATGAATGATGAGGAAGAAGGCAAAGCCTGATCCCCTCAGCATCCACCACTATAGATGAAAAGTGTACCCACCAAATGCAGAAGGACTCACCTGCGGTGTGTTAGAAAGCTGCCGCTGACGTGTCCCGACCCATCGCAGCCAGGTGTAGGGCAGGACATGCCTTCAGTCTTGACTGACTTCCAGGAGAACTGGGAACCGTTGAGGTACCCATCTTTCTGCCTTTTGGCCGCCAATGGGCACCCAGAGGCGCTGCGGTGGGATGCATACTTCCCAGTGATGTGGCCCTGACCATCACAGCCAGGGACCGGACACCTGGACAACAGACAGGAGGCAAACTTCACCATGGGCATGGTGGACCATGTGACACAGTCACCCCATGTGATGGCAAACAAACAAACAAACTAGCATACACCTATGTTCTACTAGACAAGAGAAAGGGAAATAGGAAGAGCTAGATGTGGCTGCACATGCCTGTAATCTTAGAATTTGGCAAGTGGAGGCAGGAGGATCAGGACAAAGAAGATGATCTAGAAAGACACCACCTAGTGGGAATATGTGGAATTTACTCTTTTAGAAATGGACACTGGGGACAGACAGGCAGCTCAAGGGACTATGCCTGTGATTTGGGAGGTATGGTGACTCACACAGGAGCATTGGTGAGATGCAGGTGTCTGAAGAAAATGCTACTTTTGGACAGAATTCTGGTGATAAAATGCAAAGCCAATGGGTCAGTGTAGGAGTTCAATTAATATATGCTAATAAAAAGGCAGTTTCATCAACCAGCATTCTCTCAAGGCTTAGGAAACACTCTGTATGTGGTTGCACTCTCAGGGGACACAAAGTATCTGTTCAGTTAGAAGAGATGGCATACTTCTAACACTCTAGAGTGGAAGGTTCAGCGAGATGGAGGACCCATCCTGAAATTGTACTGCTGATTGCCTGCACAGTATAGGAGGAACACAGGCTCAGCCAAGAGTATCCCAGTGTGTCTCCGAGAAGGCTGAGGCTCACTCCACAACCTCTTTTGCTCAGGGCCATGTGTCTGCTTGCATTTTCTTTGCATTTTCCATTTTCTCCCTTCTCTCCCCTTCCCACCCTCTTTTCCCTCCTTTCCATCTCCTTTTCTTCCTTTCTCCTTTGTCCATCCGTCCGTCCATCCCTCCCTCCCTTCTGACAGACCTCATGTAGTCCAGGCTGGCCTGAAGAACTAGCTATGTCACTGAGGATGAACTTGAAGATTCATCTTAGAGGGTTGTACCACCCATGCTCATTTATGCAGTGCTGAGTTTTGAACAAGGACTGTATCAACTAAGCTGCATCTCTAACCCCACATTTCTTTCTTTATATACCATAGGTTCCTTATTTTTTTGTTTATTTTGATACATTTTTGTTTATCTTAATAATCTATGTCTTCATTGATTTTTGTGTGAGTTAAAACTTATCTCTTAAAGTACTAATACTGAAATTTAATGCAGACCCACCAAGTTTGTCTCGTGAGGTTTGGGGCCCTGGGAGTGAGGGGAAACAAGGAGAAATAGGAAACGAAAATGAAATGCAAGCAGGCACACCAGCCCTTTGGCCTTAAGAGGAAGGTTCAGTGCCACTGTCCTCCTAAGACCACCTCAGGAAAGGAAAGGCACTACTACTGGTTTTACCAAGCAAGTATGATGGCAGAGGTTTTATGTTTAAGCCTTCATAGCCTTTCATGAGCCTGCAGTCCTCAGTATATTCTGGGGAAGAGAACATTTCTCAGTGACACAGACTGTGTCCAGTTAGCAGATGTTCTTTGGTTTACCTTCATCTGGCCTAGTGGCTTAGCTATACCTTGGCAGATGCCTTCTGAAACCCACCGGCCCCCTTTCTCATGGCTATCCAATGGGTGTGAGCCTGGCTGGCCCCCATACCTGATCGGCTCCTGGTCCTCCTTGTCCTCTTTGCTCTGTGCTATCCGGATGCCACTCTTCTTTGCTCTTGGGCACCCAGAAAGGCTGAAGGAGAGACAGGTTTCAGAAACACTGAACACAGACTTGGGGAAGAACTTCCTCGAAGTGACCTGATTCTCTCTACAGCCTGGGATTTGGGGAATACATTAAAATCTTGGGGCGGGGAGTGCATTTTGGACATAGCCTCTATGTCCTCTCAGTTCCCTCTCAAGGAGGTTAAGAGCCTTGAATGAACTAGGTACTGCAGGCATGGTGAAAGTCCAGATTGAGAAACAGGGACAGTGAGGACTAACCAGAGAAGATATGCTGGAGAAGGTTCTGGGGGTAGATATGGAAGGAAGGGAGGGAGGGAGGAGGGAGGGAGGGAGAAGAAACAGAGGGCTGGTGAGGTAACGAGAAGAGAAGACAGGCCCGACTTGATGTAATCAAGAGCCCTGCAGTCCAAGAGCCCCAAGCTGGGAGCTATTCCATCTCACTGAAGTGTAGACACCTCGTTTTATCTATAGACGGAATGTTGAAGTCCGAATGTGTTTATTTATTTTCTAGGTTTTGGATAGAGAGGCATTGGAGACTTTTCTCAAGGAATCTTCATGTCCTAGGCCTCTTCTGAGTATCTCTCCCAATATCTAGACATCTCATTCTGGAACATGCAGGGTGGGATTTGGTCTTTGCATAACTTGTGAGGCTGTCCATTTCCTTGCTGCTCCAACTCATTCCTCTGCCACCTCTAGCTCAGTACCCCCTGATGGCTTTTCTACCTTGACCTTGACCTTCCTTTCAGCCTCATGCTGCCACTCTCCATGAGCTTAGCCTCCACAAGGAGGTCCTATCTACTATGAAGTTCTTGGCTTCCTCTTGCTCACCTTTCCCTCCTCCAAAGGGTCCTCTAAGAGGCTGGTTCTAAGGATGTGTGAGCCACCTTATATTCTCTGAATCTTTAAATATTACTCCAGGCCTTGCACAGAGCAAGTGACAGTTAAGTATCTGCTGAATGTATCAGGATGAACATAAGTGGGGAAGGATAGACTGAGGAAGCAGGCTTTTCTATGGACACTGTGAAGTCCAGTTTCCCTGTCCATTATGTTCTGTGGCTTACAAACCCTGGGCTATAGGGCCTCATTCTCACAGATCCCTCAGCATTTGACTGGAAAAGTTTTGTTCAACCCATCTTATTCTTCTTGACTGATGGAAGTACATGAATTTCTACCCCCAGCTGAGTCCCAGGGCCCCCAAGGCCACTGCCAAGGACTTTCAAGTGATCCAGTACTCTACTTTGTTGTTGTTTTTGTTTTGCTTGATGTAACACACACACACACACACATACACACACACACACACACACACACACACACACACACACACACGGCTGGCCTCAGTTCACTATGTAGCCCATAATGACCTTGAATTTGTGATCTTCCTGCCTCCACCTTGTCAGACTGTGATCCTGAGATTTCAGGCAGCATGCATGCATGCATCATGCCACCTGATTTTATGTATTTCAGGGAACTTATCTATGTATGGTAAGCAAGCACACTGTCAACGGAGCTACACTCAATACTGTCTACTTTTGCTATAAGCATGGGCATGAAATTCATTATTCTTCACAGATTCCAGAGATTCCCATGATGACTTTACTATAAATGAGCCTAGGAATGGGATCATGTAGGCTTCTGAAGTGTCTGCCCTGCACTTGGCCATGTCTCTGATCATGGTTCCTGTGACCTGGCTCTTACTGGAGCCCCCGTAGGAAGGAGAGAACAGGAGGCCAGGGATGATAGAGAGATTTCACAACATCTGTAGTCTTTCCTTAAGATCCAAATCGGCACTTACAAGAAGACAGCTACCATCTCTTTCTTGCTGAGTGACAATGAAAAATATTGCAGGTGTTTGACCTTTGAGGGAACCCTACAGTTTTATGCACCATGACTCATATCTAACACCAGAATTTGAACCCATATTTCCTCTCTTAAATCCTGCTTTGTTTTCTTTTCTTTCCTTTTTCCTTTTTTCTTTCCACTGACTCCTTTAGACTTCTCCTGCCCGGTCAGAGAAAGTTTTCCTTCTTCTCAAGACTGCCTTCTTAGCTGGCTTATTCTAAGAACCTCAAAAGTGATGTGTTTGAACAGAACCAGTCCCCATCCTATCTGGTGTCTATCACACCTCAGATCATGTTGTGGCCACTCACTTTTGCCCAACTGGCACCTTCCTATACCCTCGAGTTTCCTCTGTACTGAATATGGTATCCATGTATGTTCAAAAGGCACCATCATTCCCAGCTGACCTTATTCTGAAAAACCAAATCCCCTGCCCCCCTCATGGAACTGCCCAAAGCTCCACCCAGGCCTTTGCATCTCTTCCTTACTTAGTTTTACCTTGAGGACAGAACCTTCTTGGTTATCATTGTCACTTGACCTCTAGAATGTAGTATGTGCTCAATAAATATCTGTGGGAGTTTAGGTTTCTGGAATCTTGGGCTGAAATTTGAAATCGTGCTATAAACTACTAAAAATTTCCTAAGCAGAAACTGTGTTTCCCATAATTCACTTACCACTGACTCAGGGGCTCGTTGGACATTTACATTTTTGCTTGAAACTGTATATATCTGAAAGTGTGACAGTCACAGGAGGTTTTGGTGGCAGGCCCCAACATGCCACACTAATGTTCACATCTCTGTGCTAAACTTAAGCTGTTTGTCTGACTTTAAACCAGGGTTAGACAGATAACAGTCAACTTCTTAAGTAGGCTGGTTTTATCTTGCATGGCAACAACCTTCCCTGCCTGACCCCATGCCTAAGGAAAGAACCAGGAGCCTTGGGATTGATGTTGGTGTTGGTAAGGTGTCTATTGCTCTGTCTCTTGCTTTACTAAGAATGCAATCTTGATTTCCTCTGAATACCAACAGCTTCTTTTGTCTACATATTAGAGCAGTTGCTGCTTTGAGGAGTAAAGTGCTGTACGGTCCTAGAATTGAATGTAGCCAGTTTGGGTCTTCTACTGAATTTTTGTAGGAGATATATATATATATATAATTTTTTGAGAACTATAAACACTGTTGTAATACTTGATTACTTAGGACACAGGCTAGCGTGGGCCTTAGCCAGCTCAGGTGAAAAGAGAGATTTCATTGTAGCAGGTGAACAGCTTTTGTTCCTTAAATTGGAGGCACAGAATCCCTGTGAGACAAAGAGTAGGAGCCAAGGAGTCTTGGGTGTGTTTTGCTACTGTATGATCCTGTTGAAAGGCAAATGGGAGGGCTCAATCAGACAACAAGGGAACCCTGTGTGTAGTAGGAACCTTCAGAAGTTACTGCATCATTGTGCTAAAACAAAACAAACAAACAAACTACAGATGAAGAATACTCCAAGGAAGGATAGCAGAGCACAAAGAAGATCTCTGAGAAGCCAAGGAAATGATAAAGATTTCTGAGGAAAATTCAGCTGAAGATTGTAAACTCTGCAAGCTCTGCAGGCCCATGAGAGGACAGTGGGAGGAGGAGGTAATGGGACAACAGTTTTAGAAAACATCACAGTCCATAGATATTTGTTACAATTAATTTTGGGGGTTTCATGTGGCATTGTGACTACAGCTGCACCATTCAAAACTAAACCAAGCAACTTCCAGTTGCTCCCTGTCTAGCATGTCTCTTGGTGCATGTCTTCTCTCTGGGCTGCACTCCACCCAGTGGTCTTTCAGTACCATTCTGTTCTCATAGGTACATGGAGATATGGCACTTGAGCTAGAGACCATGGCTTTAATTCCAGCTGTAGTTCTTATCTTTAGAGCCTCAGTTTCCTCAGACCCAAAAGAGAACGGATTCCCTGTCTTTAGTGTGTAGGGAGCAGCAGGAGGAAGAACATAGCATTCTGGCAGTCTGAGTAAGAATGGTGCCCCCATAAGCTCATATGTTTGAGTGCTTAGTCATCAGGGAGTGCAACTAACTGGAAGGGATTAGGAAGTTAGGCCTTGTTGGAGTAGGTGTAGCATTGTTGGAGGGAGTGTGTCACTGGAGGCTGGGGGTGGGTTTTGAGGTTTCAAGGGCCTAAGCTAGGCCCAGTGTCTCTCTTTCTTCATGCTGCCTACAGATCTACGTGTAGCATACTTAGCTACTTCTCCAGTACCATGTCTGCCTGTGTGCCACCAAGCTCCCTGCCATGAAAATAGACTAAGCCTCTAAAACTATAAGCGGGCTCCAATTAAATGCTTTCTTTTATAAGAGTTGCTATGGTCATGCTGTCTCTTCACAGCAACAGCACACTGAGTAAGACAAGTCTTCAGTTTATTTCTATTCCAAAGAGGTCTGTGTGATCCTCTAGGGTCTCGCATCATAGAACAGAGGTACTCTATAACTCCAGACAAGGCAAAGTGTGTATCAATCTATGACCAGGAAGGGTAGACCCAAGGTTACTAGACACTACCCATGGGCCTCTGACCTTGGGCCTGCTTGGAATCCTTGCACTGAGACATCATTTACTACTGTAGCATGGAGATATTCTGTACTCAAAACTGAGTTGAATTGTGGCATATTTATGTGTGTGCGTTTGTGAGAACAGTGTATCCCTGTCTAGGTAAACTTTCCTCTCCGGTTTATCTTATGTATCTTATGACCTGTGTTTCTGGGAAGGGATTCAGGTACATAAAAGAGAAGAAAAATTTCTAATCATCCTGTGGCCAAGAACCAATGAACCTGAAGAAAGTACTCACCACTTGCTGGCTTTTGTCTTTACTCAACTTATACAGATCTTTGCTTATTTAGCTGTGATCTCAGTCTTTCCTTAGTGGAAAATTTACTTAAGAACTGTGAACTGAATGCAATGTTATTGCTTAATATGCTTGACTCTATTTCAACATCTACATAAATGAACTTGTTATTATATAACACTTCAATACACTTTATTTTCTGTTTGTTAAAACTGCTACAAGGCAGTATTTGCCCAAAGTTTTCGCCTCAAAATCAAATTTGCTTTGCAACTCTGTTGATAAAACCTGAATTTAATTCAGCATAGATCACAGCTTAAATATAAGCCTAACATACAACCACACACACACACACACACACACAGCCATGTACACCCATAAACATGGACACTGTCACATATGAATACAAAGACACATACCACATATACATGACCTGCACACATATATACACACTGCATGTACATACATGCCATATACCCACATACATACACAAGTGTACACACATACCATACATGTACACAAAGATACACAACACACATAATATGTATGCAAATGCATAACACAACATATATATCATATACATACATACATACATACATACATACATACATACTCATACACTAATTCTATGTTATTTTGAGACAAAAATCTAGGTAGCCTAGTCTGGCCTTAAACTCTTGGTGATCCTCCTGCTTCAACTTTCAAGTACTGGGATTAAAGATGTGAACCATAATGCCGTGTTCTAGATTACATTTTAATGACACATTTGTATCTTACTAATATAACATTCTAAATCAAAAGCCAAATGAGTAAACACGCTTATACTGCATTATGATCAAAGCTTACACTGCATTATGATGTGGAGTGATGAGGAAACTTCCATTTTCAATTGTACAGATTTACAAAATGATGAATGTTCTAGAGGCATTTATTTCCTAAGAAAAATTAATATAAAGACTAGAATAGAATGCACCTGACTATATATTTAATGAGTGCTTTTTAATTCTCATTAATATAAACCAACCATCTACTCTGGAAACCCTTCCAGAAGGATCTCCCTGCATTTTGCATACTTGATGATCCAAGTCAAGGGAGCAGACCTGTCTTGACCTGATGGGCCTAAGTCTGGAGACATCTTGATTGGCACCTGAGGATGGGGGTCATGGTACCATTCAGCAGCCTATAGTTTGAGGGAAACCCCAGAGCAACAGACTTTCAATTCACAAATGCTGCAGTTGAGAAAGCCTGGTGGGGACCATGTGCTTCTTTGTACTTTGGCAGCATGTGCTGTTCTGTTTCTACAAATAGGGATGGCCCCGTGCAATTCCCAAGTTCTGAGAATCTGACAAAGATCATCCTCTGTGACCGAAGCCTGAGAATCCTAACCTTGGATCACTACTCAGTCCTTGCATAGTAGAGTGTGACCAAGAACCCTTCCAACTTAGCTTAGTAAAATCCCAAGCTCTCAGTGCCTGCATAGTCATCTTATACTCTGCCTGCCCTTAGTGGTAATGTTATGGGGTCAGCCAGGAACCCTTAGTTCTGATAACAGTTTGCATTCTACTGACCACCTGCCCCCTAGCTGTAGATCCCCACTTGTCCTTACAGATGTCATCAGGAATCTGATGCAGGATTCCTGAACCTGTCAGTAAGCCTTTTGAGGAAAGCTGGCCTTGTTACCTTTAGCAAGTATCCCATCTAGTCTGATTCAGTGATGGTATAGGCCAAGATTTTCTTTCTGCTAACAGGACCTGTCATAAAGTGTGCACCCACTATGCTGATGGACAGGTAGTGGAGGCCTATTGTCAACTCCTGTGGGGGGGGGTTCTGTGTCATATTGTAGCTCATTGTGTGGAATGGAAACATAAAGTTAAACCTCTCTATGACAGTCAACTGTGCTTATAGTAACTGTGCAGCTTTATGCTTAATATGTTAACATTTTCTGAGAATATTCACCTACATGGGGCATTCTCAGAAATCTTACAACACATTTCAAGATGAATCTTTTTCCTTTGTTCTTCTAGAATGGAGGACTGGAAATGTTTTAGTGGCTTCTTGCTACTCTAGGGTGGTATACAGACCCAAAAGAGATGAACAATCTAACAGCTCCCAAGAGGATAGCCCTGGGACTCCAAGTCTACACCTCCTTATCTGAGTACTATCATATCCAGGCAGCACATCATTCATTCAGGAGGGCAACACTCCTGTCAATGTGGAGCTGCTGCTCTGGGGAGACAGGGTAGTTATGATGAGTCTACATACCTTCGATGAGAAGCATAATTGCCAGTGATGTGTCCAGAACCGTCACAGCCAGGGGTGGGACACCTACAAGTACAAATGCAAATGGAGTAATTTACTTGAAGGAAATCAACCCCCCTGGGTAGTTGACTTTATTTATCCAAAAGGCAAACTCTTTATTGTGTACCCTTGCTACTAAGAGAGACTAAATTGATCTGGGAGGTCCCTAGCTCACTTACGACCATTACCACGTACAAATCCATCTCTGCCTCCTAATTTCCCAGCACAAGGACATGCACAAAGGATCATGGGTTTTTGTGACCACTTAAGACTCATCAGTCTCCGAAGCACCTAGCATCCTCTGTCACTAGGCTTGTGGCCCCCAGATGGCCTTTCTGTCTCCTTACTGTCCATTTGAATTTAATTAGCCATGGCCAGTTATTGCAGGACTTGATATCACAACAACCTACACATGACAAGATACAAACATGGAAGATGTGTGCCATGGCTAAGGCATGACCTATTCTGAGCCAACCTTGAATAGGGATTCCCAGTCATGTCCTCACAATTCTGTCCAGACTGGGGGATCCTAGAGCCCACAAAAGGTGACAGCTGGTACCTGTGCTGGGGGGTGGCAGGAGGAATAGACCCACAATTCTCTAGTCACGCACCTTCTGCAGATCTGCTCTACCTTAAGCCTATTACTTCTCCATTTTGGGGTACAATGTAGGAGGTGCATCTGCATGCCCTGCCAGGGATCTCATATTAGCCATAGGCTCCTCTGCCAAGTCTGTTTAAACCCACAGAAACAAATTCATCTGGCATCTTAAGGCCAACTTGCATTATAGAAGGGCTTTGTAATTGTATCTCTAATAATAACTTGTGTATATGTGTGTATGTATGTGCCTGTGTGTGCATATGTTAGGGTAAGTGGATGTGGAGATCAATTGACATCATCAGCATCATTTCTTAGGCACTGCTTACCCATCTATCCATTTATTCATCTACCTACCTACTTTTCTTTGTTATCTATCTACTTATCAACCGATAATCTATTTAGAGACAGAGTTTCTGACTGTCCTGGAACATACCAAGTAGATTAGGCTAGCTAGAGTCCCTAGGGATGGACACACCTGCTTCTACTTCCTACTGATAGGTATATGAGCATGTGTCATCTGTCTAGCTTTAAATTTTTAATTTTATTTTTTACAGTGGGCTCTGGGGATAGCAATAAGACCTTAATGCTTGCAAAGCAAGCACTTTTAAAACATGGAACTATCTACCAGTATTCCATATAATTTCATAAATATACCATCCTAAGAACAAGCAGATAGTAATGCAAAAAACATGCTTCTCAAAGCAACTTCACTGGCTCTGTACCACTATGAAGGTAAAACTAAAGAACAGAAGGTAAGAAAAGATACATTTTCCATAAAATAACATAGATTCAGTGTCACATTGAACAAATTACCCTCTGTTAATCTCTGCACAGTGAAAGTCTAAAGCCAGGTCAAAAACAAAGCCACACATGTGAACAGTCAGCAGATGTGTTCTGTTCCCAAAGGTCTTGGTTTGCCTCTGCTTAGGAAGTGGTTCTGCTTAGCAATGCTGAGGGTGGGCCATCATGTTAGCCAAGAACAGTTAGTGAGACGGGCAGGCTACCTGGGCACAAAAATGAGGCTAATCCATAGCCTGGTACAGTGAGGCTGGCACACCAGTCACCATAGATGTGCCTTCTTCAGACATTGGACGACAGGGCCAAGGAGCAGGCGTGCACGTAGGAACTGGACAAGTTTCAAATGTGTAAATGGCAGATTGCCATGATTGGATCCATGAACAATTTCCAGGGTTTAGAAATTTTCTAATTTCCCTTTTGTCCTATGAAAGGGAATGTGTATCTATATCTCATGGTATAGAAGTCAGTATCTTCCATACAAAATGTAAGGACAGAGTGTAATTCATGGTTTGTGTTAGGCGAGGAGCAAGGCCAACTGAGTGGCAGGGTGGTAGAGAGTCTGTAGAGTGCTCTGGTACACACAGGAGATGGATCTTTGAGATAGGGATTGGTTACACAACAGGTCTGAGCTTGTTTTAATGAATTCTGCTTGTCAATAGCAGCCCCATTAATGATTGGAGACTTGGATTTGAACAGAATAACTGTGTTGGCCTTCACACCTCAGTGGACTTGTTGAGTGGCTGGTTTTCCTAGTGCTGAGGAACTTGCCTGAGAGAAAATCTTGGAAGCAGTGAACTCATCCTGAGATATACTGAACATCATAACAGTTCTATTTGGAGGTATATAAAGAGAGTCTGTGTTTCCTACCCACCAGTGACAAAGTTGGCCTTATTTTCTAATGAAGGGAGATTTTAAAGCTCTTCCTAATTAAAAACCTAGTGAAAGTTAATTTACAGTTTACTCGTTCATCTGTCTTTTTTGGGAACAGAAGTTGCCATATTCTACCTGAAATGGAAGTGAGGTATTATAACCATGGAAAAGCAATGATAATCGGATCTTACCACCTCCACCCACAAAAACCTTTGCAGCAACTTCTATGAGTTAGGCTGTCCTTTTTAGAGTTACAATTCATTACTTGGTAAGAAAGAGGTTCAAAATATACCCTTTTTACTATTACTACTATAGGAAAACCCCACAAACACACACACACACACACACACACACACACACACAAAGCTCACTTTCAGTGCTTTCATTGTTTTGCAGAGAAAACACCATGAGAATCAGGTTTTCTTTTTGGAACCTTGCCAGGTGAGGTCACCTGTTAGCCATGAGGCCATGGGGCTGCTGTAGTATCCTTGTAGATAAGATCCTGGTACCCTTGTGTAGACAAGACATCCTTATCTATAGCCAGAGGGTAGCTATGGGGCTAGAGGGCCTCTCTGTGTGAGGAGCAAAGGACAGGGGCTCTGCTCCTCCATCCCTACACCATTGAGGTCAGGATTGCCGAAGTGCCATTCTCCACCTGCAGGTGGCGCATTTGGGCTGAGAAAGGCTGTTGAGGCGGCTTTACCTGGCTCCCTCTGAAATGGCTCCAGGCATTCATTCCTGTCTGACTGTCAAGACTTCAAGGCTTTCTTAAAACTCATAGATTTACATACAAATTTTCCAGCCTTAAGAAATCTCAATATTCAAAACCACAATTTTCTGCAGCCTTGAGTGATGGAATGATGATTCCTCTAAAAAAGGAACCTGTTCTCAGGCCTGTCTGCTCTAGGGTCTTGGTGGTGGGAGGTGTGTGGAATCCACTTTTCCCTGTCATGCTGGCAACAGTCCCTCTAGGAGCACATCTTCCCAGGAAGGGAGCCCACGTGGGACAATCAGAAGCAGCCTGTGTGCACAGCTTGGGTTTTGAAACCACAGAAGAGATGGGCTGGGTTTCCATGGAAACGGCCCTCGGCTCCCTTGGGGGAGGCAATGGCTTGGCTGTCAGCACTGAAGTGCTTCTGGCAGGCCAAAGGAGGTTTTCAAAGGACACTGCTTGATGACCCTTCTTGCGCTCCTAATAGCTGCCATGAACAGTAGTACTGGGAATAGTTTAGGCTTTTATGGTTAAGGATGTGAAGTTTGCTAAACAAAATGCTTGGTTTTTATCAGTATATTCTTTTCTATTATAATAAGACTATGGATAAAAGCACTCAGAGAAAGGAAATGATGAATAAGGAATCTCATTCTATACTTGCTTCTTCTCAGACTGTGAGACAAAAACAACCTAATCTTGCTATAACTTGGTTTTGTGTTTAGGCTATTAAGAGAAAAAATTTCTGGTGGCACATATTGCTCTCTGGATGAGAACACTGGTTTTATATAGACACTAAAGAACAATGACATTAAAAAATAATAACAAGTCTTAAATAGTGCTTAATTAGACAAGCATGCAGAATCAGACAAAATACTTAAAATAGGAATCCAGAGGTTCTTATAGATGGTTCATTCTGACCATGGGCATGTCTTTTTCTGTAGGGAAAGCTGTTTGCTGCTTACTGGAGTCTGAAATCCTGGCCCCTCTGCCTCCTGCTTTTCTATCTTCAAGTAAACACAGGACCTCAAATAGCCACTGGCCACACCCACCCAGAGAGTATCAGATATGTCCTGCCCTCTAATGTAAGAGAACTGGATATCAGTGTACTGAAACATATCGTAGAGAACTTTACATTAACATTTGTCAAAAAAGATGGGGCAATAACCAGCACATCTCAATTCTGTCTTGAATCTGTCCTCAAGGGACTCAAGCCCCATTACACAGCCCAAAGTGGTGCCCTCTTTGCAGAACCACAACCTGGAGAGAGGGGGAGGGGGAGGGAGAGAGGGAGAGAGGAAGAGAGGGAGAGAGACAGAGAGAGGGAAAGGGAGAGGGGGAGAGAGGGGGAGAGGAGAAGGAGAGGAAGAGAGACAGGGAGAAAGGGAGAGAGGGGAAACAGTTACATCCACTGACGGCAGATGTCTTTCTGGTTAGTTATTCATACATGTCTTGAAAATGGTTCCTCCATACTGTCCCCACATTCTTTTAAAAAGACATATTACAAGGGTTAAATCAACACTTAGAATTATGTTAAGGAATGTAAAGTATGATGTCATAGTAGGCATGCCATCTGGTAAGGTGAACATGACACTATGATAGTTGTGTGCTCTGGTTAAGTGAATATGTGGCATTAAAACAGGTGTGGTCTCTGCTTAAATGAGGATGTGGCATCATGGTAGGTACCCACTCTGAGTGAGTATGACATCATGATAGGTGTGCCTTCTGGTTAAGGGTGTGATGTTATGATAGCCATTCCTTCTGGTTAATGGAGTATGTGACATTATGATAGATATACACTCTGGTTAAGTGAGTATGCACAGAGCAACACATTTTCTGATCACTGTGGGCGGAAGGGGACCCCATCTCATGCCAAGGATATGTGATGCAGGCTAGCTACTCTCCAGCTCATGTATCTTCCCACATTTCCTCTGCAGGGGTCACTTATGCCCACATGTTCTGGTTGGGCATAGCATGTGCTAACACCAGGGTCAGCTCCCTCCATGTGACCTGGAAGGGGTCACAGTTTCAGACAGATTGCAAGACACCCCC